TTTTCTTTTTCTCTTCTCCAGATCCTCCCAAAGTGAGGTGGGAAAGATTTGTAGTCTAACATCTCCCCATCTCTCCCGCTCTCATCTGTGTCTCTCATCTGGATTTCACAGATGTTCTATGATTATTTCTGCCTTGATTTGGTGATACTTTCCTGCCGTCGAGGCATTTGGAGCATTTTTAGTGTTTAGCGACCAAGATTCGGCGGGAACTATTTTCGAACCGAGGCCAAAGCGGCTGTGATCCTTCTGCTCACTTTGTTCCTGTGAAATGGAGATTCACAAAAATGGTGCCACCTGTAACATGTCTAATGGATTTAAAAGGATTTGCCATGATACAGTTCACGGTTTTAAACAAAATTGCCTTTGTGATATTTGTGACCTGTTGATTAGGAGGTTTAAAAAAATAGCCTGCATTTGCAAAATCACATTTGTGGAAGCTCTTCTGGTTCAATTTGGCTCTCCGGCTCTCAGTCTCTGTCTCTTTGTTTCTCCCTCTTCTTTGTATCCATTACTGTTCCACTTTTCCATAATGGAGACATTAGAGTCTTTTACCTCTCCGCTATCTATCATGTCATTTAAACTCTTTCCTTACTTTCTGTTTTTAACTTTTTCCCTTTCCTCTTCCCTCTTTCCTCAAATCTTGCCTCCTCCCTCTGTCCACCGCGCTCGGGGTCATCTCTGTCGTCACACAGCGTCTCTTGTCCCCATCATATCACCAACAGCTTGTCACAGGCAATCAGCCTGCCTGCCTCAACTCCCCGCACGAGCCTCTCCTCCTCCTCTTTTCTCTCCTCATCTTCCTCACCTCCCTCGTCTCCCGTCACCTTCTTTTCCTCCTTCATGTGTCAGTAGTTATTACGCTCAGAAATTTGTCGGGCCCCTCTCTCTCAGGCCAGTTAAAAGGGGTATTTTCTCAATCCCTTATCCATTCCTACGGTTAGTACTGCTGCCCAGTTTTAGTCCTACAGCCCGAATTACGCCTCCCAGTGACCGCTGTAATGGGTTATACTGGAATGAGGAGAAGCTTGTGTAATCCCTTCTTATGTCATGTACTTACATTTCTGTTAGAGCATGGTTTTTACAGTATGTTGGGAGCAACGTTTCTAAGAAACAGTGGAAAATAAGATAAAAAAATTTGTTCTCAACATATTTTCCCCCATTTTTGTTTTCAAGTATGTTTTATATCTTTCATTATAATAATTAGATTTTCAGCTACAGCATGCCCCGGGGTAAGAATATGTTATTAATGATTTAAAAATGACTGTGTGTATTAAATAAACATATTATCTGTTATTCAGGACTTTATATGAATTTTGTAATTCATTATGATGTATGTTGTAATACTATAATTTTCAGTAGTACGTAACTATTAGTTAAGGACTACTTAACTATCAATGGTATCATCAATCATGGTATTATATATGTAAAGTATATAAAGTATACCCATTAGGAATTTCAAAAAACTCAGTACTGACGTATTATTTTTAGTCTGCTGTTTGTTTAGGTTCAGAAAAAGATCATGCTTTGTGTTAAAATAGACTTTCACAACCTTAACCATTTCTTAGAAAGCTTTTCTGCCAGAAAGCCCTGAAGGAAAAATTCTCCCACCACCTTATATCTTTCTTTCTTCTGACTTCCTCCCAGTTCCAAAGCTATTACTTCACAACAAAATCACTTAAGATTAATGCAGTCATGAGGAGACTGCTTTTTTCCATTTGCAGTAATTTATATTTGGAGGCATGGCTCCGTCCTGAGAGAGCGCACCTCCATGACCTGCCAAGTGGAAAGTTTGAGACAGAAAAGACCTGGTATAGAGATGGGCAGACATCAGTGACAAGAGATTTATCATAAAGCAGGAGATGGGGTGGAGGTGGGTTGCAAAGTGGCTTGCACATGCACAGCAACTGTGAGCAGGGTGAAGGATACATAAATAATGTCAGATCAGCTGATCTGCTGGTAAGGCAGCTGAGCTTGATTTTAGTGCCGCCCTGAAGTAACACTTTAATAACAGCTGGTCAGTTGCAATAGTGGGTGTGGATAGACTTGAATTATTATCGTAAGAAAATCAACATAGTGATATGTGGCTCTGCATCAGAACACACCTCACGTTAAATCACAACCTGAACATGACGTCTGAGCAAAGGATGTAGAAAAAGAAAGACAGCCCTGATCAAAGAGCTGTACCTAATTTGGCACACTCATTCGGTTTATTTGAACCTCACTGAAATCAATGAAAGTGTCTTCTTCCATTATTGCAAACGAAAAAAAATTTCACAGGTCTCAGGTGGAGAAAAAAAAAGAAAGAATACTACGATTTAAGATGATCTCGAAGGACAGCAAATAGTGAAAACACTCGAGGAATGCACAAGTTTTTTCACAGCCTTTTATCTAAACCTTATTTATCCATCCCTTCATCCATCCCTGTCTCCTGGCTTCCCTACCATACTGCTGTTCGCCTTGACCTCCGCCTGCTTTCTTTCCTCCTCCTGCTTTCACACTCTGCATCCTGCAGCGATGGAGGGAAAGACAGAGGGAGGTGTTAGAAGTAAAGCTGCCTCTTTTTCACACTTTCCTCTCTCTCTCACTCACTCTCTCTCCTGAGCCATCCACCATTCATCCCTCTCTGCTTCGCTTCAGACTGGCTAATCTATAGCCTGAAGGGGAAGTGGCGGGAGGAAATATGTATATATATATAATTTTTTTTTATAAAGGAAGAATGATGACATTGAAGGTTAGCCAGGGAAAATGAGTGTAGACGGTGTGGTGTATGTGTGGGGGAAGGAGAAAGAATATGCCTACTGTATTTTTTAGTAGCCACCACATCTGTTCCTCCATCAGCTAAAAGTTGAAAGGCAGACATTGAACTCGGTGTCTTTTAATAGCTTTTGATTTGTTGCTGTGAGTAGGATCTGTAGGATCATCTGTGTGCTAATGATTGAGACCAGCTGCACAGCTAATGGTACACCGGCTGCAAAGGTGTGATTCTCACTAGGAGCATCTCTCTCTTCTTTGCACCCCTCACTGCTTCTCTCTTTCCGTTCTCTCTTTTCTCACTGTGTCTTCATCTTCATGCTGATTCCCATCTATCCTCAGCCTGCTCCGCGTCCCTTAATCCTTTTCCACCTTCGGTGACCTGGAGGCTAGTCGTCGTTCACTTGCTCCTTTCTCTTTGTTTACATTCTCGATTCCTTTCCTGCCTCCTCTCCTCTTTTGCCATCTTAGCTCCTCCCACTTGTGATGCTAGTAAAGGAGGAGGAGGTAAGGACAAGACAGGAGTCAAGACAGTTCCTAATCAAGCTTGATTAGGAACTGTCACTTTAAAGTGATGCCAGTTCAGTCTAATGTGGCATCATATTTTCTCCCTTTCTCTCTCAGATAAGCATCTCCACTGAAACATTTTTATGTTAAAAGGAACTTATCTTATTCGTTTGCAGCTTTGCATTTTCAGTCTTAAACTCTACTGCAGTTCCTTGGTGTGATGCGCAATTAAGAATTTATTATATTTACTTTAAACTCACCCTTGGACAGACCCTGAGTTCATTCATTGTGTCAAAGAAGCCTTTTTAGTGCCTTAGAGCCAGCTTTCTTCTGATTTGTTGCCCCTAATAAACAGACAGCTGTGGGCAGCATTTAGAGCAGCCTGAAAGCAGAACTTTTGGCTCATAAGGATCACGTTCGCGTATACTGACCTCATTATTATCTGCGTTTGCAATGCTAAAGCGATCTTTGACCAGCATAAGGCACATAAATGAGGAATAATATGAGAAAAATGTGCAGATGTCACATTTTATCTAAGTGTAATTGCAACAACCACAGCTTATGAATACAAAGGAACACTTTGTAGAGCCCTGTTCTCATCGTGTTAGCAATTCAGCTGTTTGTCACATATTGTATATACATCACAGGTCCCACAAAGGGCCTTTGTTCCTGCGCATCCTTGCCCATAGCTCCTCTACTGAGCCGTTTTTTTTACCCAAAACTTACATTTTTAGGAACTACAAAATCCTTTGAGAGCGAGACACCGGTGAGATCAATTTCCGGGTCACAGACAGACAAGTTGGAACAGAACAGTGAAGTAAAAAGAGCTCTTTGAGCAGGATTTTATACGTATGCATGCACGCACACACACACAGTTCTTGTGTGCATATTTTCTCAGCACTGTTTGACCTTCTTTAACTTCCTTTGTAGCTTCACTAGATAAAAAATGTGATTTACATGACGTTACATCGCTGATTAAAATCTGACTGTATCGCTGTATTGTGCTGATTGAACTGTTGCATTTTTTTCCAGCATGAGAAAAGCTTTTACATCCTGATAACACATAATAAATTCCCCCATTGCCTGTATTAACACATCCCCTCCCTCATTTTAAATGGAAAAAAATCCCCTTAATTCTATTAATTAAAACATAAGCGGTGATAGTGTTGGTGTATTGATGGGGTATTACCAAGTGGAGCTTTAACACATTCCACAGTTTCTTTTCTAACCAATCACGTCCAGTTTCTGAGTCAAATCACACTGATTTGTGTCTCAGGGGCTCCCATTTGATTTCATATACGCTCTTGATTGGATTACTATCACTCCCCCCCCCCCCCCCCCCCCAATCCGTCAGTCTTCGCTTCTCCAAATTGCATCCCCTCCCCACCCCCTCCAACGCTATTTCTCCAGCCCAAGCGGCAATTGCAGTTGACTGCAGTCGGTTGAGTCCATGCGCCACAGCGGGGGTGTTAATGAATTCCAGCAGACTGCTAAATGAGGACTTATTAAAGTGCTGCCGCCTCATAGTTTGACATTTCAGAGCTTCTGGTGGAGTTTTAAATCGCTGCCTCTGCAAATGTCACTCGCTGACTCTCTGGAAGGGCTGACCATATGAATAGAAGCTAGTCTTGGCTATAGATTGTGTGAGAGAGTGTGAGTTTGTGTGGCTGTATATTCAGTGGGTCCGTATAGCACGCTGTTCCTTTTTTTAATTGCACATTTCTGTGTTTCCATCCTTCCAGCTACGTCAGATGGGACGCGTCAAGGCCTGGACAGCATGAAGGGTGGAGTGTGTGCCACGCAAGGCATGAAGGTGGTCCTAAAAGTGGGGCAGAGTAAGTCCTCGCAACTCTCTTTCTGCTTTCTCTCACACACATCCGCTCCACATGTGAGCTATCTCATGTGCACTGCATGTGTGATGGACTCGTACACACACACACACACACACGCACACGCACACACACACACACACACACACACAAATCACTTAACACACTGTGATATTAACAAGCATTAGCTCCACATCTCCCATCATCTCACATCTGTGCAGTACAGAGCAGCACACATTAGTGCGCCTTATCTTGCATGCAGCCTCTTCCACTTTTAAACTGTCTCTCTAATCTTCCTCTTCCTTACACACACACGTACCATATAGTCTGCACACCACACACACACCACATGCACACACACGTACCTTTCTTAATGCGTGTGTTCTTGCTGAGCATATTAGGTCTCGTTAAGTGGTAAGAACAGCGAAGAAGTGTGGGATCAGTCAGCTCTAATGAGCCCTGTTGACTCCCTTCTCACTCTGCCTTTTAACTGCTACTGACTCATGCTGGACACACACACTTAAACACACACTGAAACTTAGACGCACACGCGTGCGCACACACCGGTCTGCATAATCATCAGCTCACACGTGCACATTAAGTGGACACGGACACGCATGCACCTGAGATGTCCACGGCCGGGAAACGAACACACACACACACAGACACACACATGCACAGCAGTCCCGCCAGCTACAGCATGATAACAAAACGACTCCATTCTCTGTTAAAGCACACAGTCAGTGATTTTTAATGACTCGTAGCTGCACACACTTCTAATTTGTTTGGAAAATATTCACAGCTAATGACCCTCGCACGGAGGTGTTTTTTTTTTTAAGCAGCAAAGGGAAAAAAGGCTAATTTAAGCATTTTCACTGGCCTGCACACTTCTACACATAATCGGCACCTGTCCTTCACACGACCCCCCTCACGTACACACGTACAAACACGACCAGCCATTTCTATTTCCTTGATCTATGCTGTGTTATCAGGACTTGTGTATTGTAGGGGCTCTTCAGCAAAGAGCCAAGTGGCGCTGTTGTGTCTCTATCAGCCCGTAACATCAGCATAGTCAGCTTGGCTCAATAGAAATACCACCACACACACACACACGTACACACACACACACACACATACACACTTTATTTCCCCTGGCTTTTTCACCACACAGGCGATGGAAAAACTACCTTCCTTTTGACACACATACAAACCACAGCTCTGTGAAGAAGATGCACACACACCTTTTTCTTTGTTCTTCTTCATTTTCTTTTTAAATATCTCTCCTTTCCTCACTCAAACTACTCCCTGCAACACTCCTTGCCTCCTTTCCTTTCAAATTCCCCATTCCGCTTTGCATGCCGGCCATCTCTCCTTATTTTCACTCTTTTCCTCTGTTTTCCTCATCTTATCTGCTGTGTGGCTGAAAGGTCACGTCTGTGTTGTTTGTCGTCTAAATAAGCGGCGTGCCGCCTCGTGGTGATCTCTGATGAGATATGGCGCTCTGCTCCGCTTCGAGGGACCCACACTTGCAAAAACCCACACATATACATTGAGCTGTCGCCTCGTATTTTATTCTTTATATATCTTGCTTGCTCTCTGAATCTGTCACATGCACACTTTCTCACACGCACACAGCCCGAACCTCCTTCTACGAGCCCCTGCTGACCAAACAGCAGCTCCTATTGATCCAGCCGGCACCACCCCGAACCTCTGTTTGGTTTATTGTCAAGAGGGAGCCGCCAGCCAATATCCTTACCCTTCTCTAAATGTCAGCACATATGGGTTGATGGCTGTGCTTGACCACTGTACAGGCAGGACTACTATAGTCAAAAGCAGGTTGTTATTTCCATCTACAGTAAAGTGGATAGCTCTCATTATTGTACTTCCCAGTCCCAAAGCTATGACATCACTACAGCATTATTGGACGGTTGCAGTGTCATCCCAGAGCACATTAATGTTAATATTGAAACTGTGCATCAGAATTCATCACGAGTTCTTAGCAGATAGTGCAACACATCTTCATATGAGTTTTACACCAGATGCCCTTCTTGACACAACCCCAACGGGAATTTGTGTCCCTGGGTGGAACTGAATTGAATTATCAGCCTTTCGCTCGTCAATCAAATGTGTATACTTTGTGTGTTAGAGCGTGCTGGAAAGTAGACCCCCAGCTGAGAGACAATAGATACGACAATGATTAAATCAGACACAGCACAAAAACAGGAACTGGGGTGGGGGTGGGTTGCAAAGCAGCTTGCAGATGTAATTGTGAGTAAGCTAAAGAAGCTTCAATAGCAAGCCCTACATATGACAGCCAGCTAGGCGTGTAGAAGTGTATCAGCAGAGCTATCAGCTGATGGGGGCCGGCACTTAGATCAGCTGACCTGCTGGGATTGCAGCTGAGCTCGACTTTGTGGGGTGCCTGATTTAATGCCGCGCTTGATTAACTGTAAGTTTGCGGTCATTTTATGTTGCACGAAATGTTGAACTCAACAGCCCAGTGCAACTCTGTTCTTGCAGCCCACTGTTGGACAGATGGCTCAGAAGCTAACAAAATTAGTATTTTCTGAACCATCTCTTTCAGCTTCGAGGAGTAGCACTTATACCCACAACGGCTGCATTAGCATGTAGCATGTGTGTGCACGCTTGTGCCCGTGTTTGCATGTGTCACATAAACTCACTTTAATGCCATCACCATTACTGAGGGCTTGCGAGACAGATGGCCTGATTTAGCGACTACAGATTACAAGCCGTTATGGCCTTGTGTAAATTCGCTCAGGCCAAAACAACAAACGACCTCTCTTTAGTTTCCCATTCAAACAAATGGAAAAGTGCTCATACGCAGCACGTCGAAGCCCAGTCAATATGTGCTCCCCTATAATGGGAAGGGAAGGGGGTCCTTTATTAAACCTCTTCTGTCTCTTATTTCTCTGGCTGGCTGTCTCTCTCTTTGCTAATGTCGCTTATTGGTTTCGAATCAGAGAGCTTTGGCTGTTGCAGAAGATGGAGGCTGTCTCGGTATTTCTGTAATTCCTCGCTTATTTTTCCTCCCAAGGCCCATATGGACTGCCTCCAAAGAAGGAGCCGGCAGCGGGACGCACCACCAGCAAAAACCCAGGTAAGCAGGAAATCAAATAGAGATAATCCACAGCAGATCCATCCACAAAATGGATGGAGGGAATAAGCAAAGACTGCTAGATAAAAAAGAAAAGCAGCAGGGAGAGGGGAGGGTGGAGGCGACAGATGGAGAATGTGCAGCGGTGACATCTGCGGATCTCTCTGTTTAATTCCATATTTCTCTCTCACTCTCTCCTTCTCCCCCCTACTCTCTGTCCCTCTCCTCCTCGTCTCTGCACCCGGCCCTTCAAGCTAAGTGCTGCGGGCGGGGAATGGATGGCTAATAGCTACCTTGGGAGAAGGACAAGAAAAAGTGAGGGAGGAAGAAAGAGGCAAGAGGAGGAAGAGAGACAGAGGGAGAGAGAGCAGCGACGACATTTCAGAGTTATTATTGTCATTAGTTTGGGGGCGAGGGGGGTAGTGTGCACCGTAGTTCTGTCTAGAAAGAATGAGAGACTGAGTGAAGAGAGAAGAGGAGGCAGGGGAGTGATAGAACGGAGTGGGTAGAAATGGGAGGCACATAAGGAGGAGAAAGAAAAGAATAATTGAAAAGCAAAGAGGAGAGGGGAAGAGAACAAGGAGATGAAAATGGAGAGAGGCAACATTCATGCTTCACCTCAAAGTTATTCAGTGAAGGGGAAAGAACACGATTCACTCTGAGCTGTGTTCATTTCTCCTTCTCTCTCTTTTTTTTCTTTTTTGGGCGAATTTGCGTACTATACCAGATGTGGGAATTGGACCATTCACACATTTCCCAATCACTTGTCCATACCTCATATAGGTGAGAAGTGTATGTGTGAATCAGCAACAATAGTATGCATTGTTTGTGCTAGAATGAGAGCGGCGAAGCACGACGGCGAGGATGATTTAATCGCACACCTAAGAGGGATTTTACACATTTTTGACTTTCAGGCAAGGACATATTAACACGCACTTAACCGCATATCTAAAAATGATTGTTATGACATTCGACACAGCAGTTATGCCAGAATTTCTAATCCTCGTGTGAATACGCTCGAAATCATCTCAGCTAATAATTGGAATACTGTTGCTTATTCACAGTTTCTCATTGTGTTTGCGTGGCTCTCTTGGGATGTAAACAAATAGAAATACATTATTGGGATATGAACAAGAAATGCTCTCTGAATAGATACGAAAGGATTGTTTGGTTTTTTTTCTGTCATCCACAAACTCAACTCACTCGAATCAAAACCATCACTCATTACAGATGTCCGCTGGGGATAAACGTCTATAAATGGATTCCAAGTCAGAGAACAGGAGACTTAAAATCATTATTTTCTAGGTAGTTTGAAGAGGAACCAAATGAATCATGATTCTTGTTGATGCAAAGTGCTGAAATGTTCAAAAGTAAAAAAAAAAAAAAATAATATTTTGTATGTGAAAGTAGTAAGAGGACAACAGCCAGCAACATGTTTGGAAAAAAATGAGGCATAAAAAAACAGGAACAGTTGTGTAACAGTAAACACCTCATGGAGCATCTACCTTGAAAAATAAGGTTAGTATCATGGTTGGTGTGAAAACAACGATCTAGTTCAGTTATATTTATATAGCATCAAATCACAACAGCAGTCCACTGAGCGCTGATGCTACAATAATGCGTAAAACCCAACAATCAGACGACCCCTTGCGTGTAAGCAATTGGCGACAGCGGGGAGGAAAAACTCCCTTTTAACAGGAAGAAACCTATAGAGCCAGATTCAAGGAGAGGTAGCCATCTGCCACCACTGGTTGGAGGTGAGGGTGAGGAAGACAGGATAGAAGAGGGGTAAGACTATTTCTAAAGAGATTTAATCATGTGTTGTTTACAATATGAAAACATCCAGAGAAGTTTCTCGGTGCAAAGAACAATGTGGAACGATCGTGCTTGTTAGGCATTTAGCGTTAAAAACAGGTGACAGACGAGGCATCGCTGCACCCACGAATGAAAGTTCAAGTACTGTACAAAGGGAAAAATACACCCTCTCTCAGCCTGAGCCCACTTAAGGTGGATTAAGGTGTGGAGAAACTGTGATCTGATCTTTCATATAATATCATATTGTTTGACTGACTTGCAAAACAATATATTCTGTTTCTATTTACATTTAACGCAGCATCCCAACTTTTTCTATTTTATCAAATTTGTTTTGCAAAGCAGAGAGAAGCTAAGACTCACCCATTCCAGTTATTTGCACGAAATAAACAAAATACGAGTAAAGATTCAGATTATAGCTTTGCATTACAGTCCTAATGTGCACCCATCTAAGCCACTGATTACGACAAGGACATGATTTGAATTTCCGCTCCCGTTGCCAAGCCGCAAGCTTTCGCTTTTCCTTTCACCTGCTTTTCTCTTTTTTTGTGGCACCTCAAATTTCCTGATGTGATTCTATACGAAGGGCTCTGGTGCACATCCTCCAAGTACAAATGGATCGAAAGAGACAAATTAATTCTGTTTTTTAAAAAAAAGAAGAGCATTTTATGTGGGGAGCAGCAATGAGATGCCATAATGCATGAGTTACTGCTGCTCTAGGAATTATGTAATTTTGTCACATCCTCTTGAATGTATTCATATAAAAGGTTTCTGATGGAAGCACGCGCTCATTCACACTTTATTTTGACAAAATGCCTGAAATTTGCATTTGTGCGGCAGCCGGGTGGAAACATAACTAAATGTGGCGAGTGTTCGAAAACAGCTCCAAAAATATGTTAAAAAACCGAATATGAGACCAATTACTCCTCTCTGAAATGTGACAGCTGGCTCAGAAGCAAGGATGATACGACACCTTGACCCGTTCTTTCATTTCTGACCTGTTGCGTGTTTCTCTCCGAGGTGGAATCCGCTAATGATATGAAATAGATGGAAACAAAAACGGAAAATAAGGCCTTGGAGTCTGAACTTGTGTGTTTTAGAAAAAAAGAATTAACACAGAAGAAAGGAAGGAGACGTGCAAAAAAAGGGGGAGTGAGAGGTGCAGAAGGAGAGGTGAAGGAAGAGGATATAATAAGGAGAGCAGGTGAGCGGCGGCAGTCATAATGGAGACGGAGAATGAGGGATGTTGGGTTAATGGTGGGAGGAAGAAAGAGGAAGGAGGAGCGGGGAGTGTAATCGACTTCTGGCATTAGTGCTCTGCTCCCAGTCAGTCCAGCGCGGCAGGGGGGCTCGCAGCAGGGGGGAGGAAAGGGGATGAGGTGTGTTTGCTTGGATGTGTACGTCAGTATCGCTTGTGTGTGCGTCTTTGTGTGTGTTTGTGCTGCAAGGTGCTGAGCTCAGAGCAAGGTGGGTTATTACGGCTACAATAACCCGAAGATAGAAAGAACCACGGAGCGAGGGGAGGGCGAGGAAACGGAGGAGACGCCGGAGAGAGACAGACGGGGAGAACAGAGAGGGATGTGTGCCAAGAATAATGATAGACCAATCCAGAGGCCCTATATAGCAAAGACTCACATTACCTGCCTTAACCAGTTCGCACCTCTCATACACATGCCCAGTGCCAAAGCAGTCCTGTTTTTATAAATGCACACGCACACTCGCACACCTCCACACCATCATTCACCTGCTGAGTTCTGACCCGACCTCCCGCGGGCAAGACAGCGAGCTCTGAGGCTGTGAAGATCTTAGGTTTCAGGCGAGACGCGGGGCAGACAGAGGGAGCAACGGGACCCAAGTGTGACAGACAGTTTGATAAACAGACAGACAGATAAAAAAGACAGACGGGCGGGCAGGGAGGCCAGCGGGCAGGCCGAGTGTGTGGTCTGGTGGTGGCAGCGGAGGGGGGAGGATCTCTTCATGTGGCTGGCTGTAATGCTAAGTAAATACAGTTGTTAAGGTTAGGGAAATAGAGTGTATTACTTTGATACACACTGCGGCTCAGCCAGGCTGTCCGCAAGAGTATATACTGCGCAGTACACTCGCACTCACTGCGGACATTCCTCGCTGCTTTATAGGGACTGCTGTCCACTCCATCACATCAATGAAGAGACCACATATAAGCTTCTGTGAGAGTTGCTGCATTCCACTGGTTTATGCCTGCTAGTTTGGGCTGAACCATCGTCATTACTCATGCTATTGTGGTACAGAGCCATAAGGAATGGTATGTTTATTTAAAAGCTCGTGAAAACGCCAAGTTGTGAGAGCAAGCCGTGTTATTGCTCCGGTGCATTGGTCGTGATGAATTGTGCGGCGCCGGGAGCAGCTTGTGCTACCGGAAGTAAAGATTGTTCTGTGATTCGTTTCAGGCGGCACGGGGAACTCCAGCCAGCCTCGAGGACCCTTCGGGGAAGAAGGCAGAGGTGAGAACGGGCCTCTCCAACCCTCCAACATCGCTCTCATCGCCGGCGCCGCGGGAGGCTCTGCCTTTCTCCTGCTGGTCACCGCCGTGATCTGCGTCGTGTGCTACAGGAGGCGGCACGCCAAGCACTCGGACACCCACCACCCTCCGCTGTCGCTGTCCTCCCTCACCAGCCCCAAACGGGGAGGCGGCGGGGGCATCACCAGCTCCAACAACAACGGCTCCGAGCCCAGCGACATCATCATCCCTCTGCGGACGTCAGACTCGGCCTACTGCCCGCACTACGAGAAGGTGAGCGGGGACTACGGACACCCTGTCTACATTGTCCAGGAGATGCCGCCTCAGAGCCCAGCCAACATCTACTACAAAGTATGAGGTGGCCTTTGCTCCGGCCAACTGGACGCACCCGCCTCCCTCCACCCGTTACCGACCAATCCCTCCTCCCCACATCCCTGCTCCAAATGAAGCCACAGCAAAGCTATCCATCACAGCTCCAACCCTGATCCCCTCAATACTGCCAGTATTGCCCCTCCAACCCCCCCACACCCCCAACTCACTACCCTGTGAGCCTGCACCCCTGGCCACAGTTGTGTTTCTAGCCGAGTAAGCCTCCCCACCCCATTCTCACACAACCAAGTGTGTGTAAAGGGCAATGTCGTAACCGTGCATAGCCTTTGTTAACAAGGCCCTCGCGAATAGGCAATAGGCTCTGACTGCCCCCCCTTCTTGTTAACTCAGAGCTAAATGAGCCCCCCTACACATGCTGAATTGAAGAGTCCTCCCCTAAACGCCAGTGTGCATGTGCAGCACACACTGTTTTTTTTTTTTAACGGGGTAGGGACCTGCCGTTGGGAAATGTGATGTTTTGAAGAAGGAAAAAGGAGAACGCAAAGGACAAGAACAGCAAGAAAAACTACTCCCCTGACCCCCACTTAGCACCGCAGAACTCCATCAGCCAATCAGAGTCCGGCCCCTACCACTAACTCAATAATAGGATGCTAGTTTGTATGTGTTTGTTTCTCCTGAGAAAACGCAGGGGGAAGAGGGGGGCCTCGGACTCGCCCGATCAGCACCGTCCGAGCGGCGGTCACATGACCGAGCCAGGGCCTCTACGCAAGGTCTGACCAATCGGTGACTCTCAGAATCTTGTATATTTTAATAATGCGTGTGACTGTGAGAGCGAGCTACGAACTCGGTCAATAATCATGGCGGTGCTGCTGCTCCACATTAGACGTGTGCGTGCAGTTAGTGTGCTTCAAGTACGGCAAGTTTGCATATGCGCGCGTGGGGTTTAGTCTGTGTGCGTGTGTGTGCGTGCGCACGCTTTGTGCGAGGGTGACTGTGCGAATGCGTGCGTTCTTTAGACTTGTCTTAAATACCAAAACACAAAATAGTGAGCGAATATCAAAAAAGTGAGATTTTTTATCGCTATTGACACTTATAGATTATATATATGAATATCCAGTAAATAATTTCTAGATGTTTTTTTCCGTTTTCTATTGTTTTGTTTTACCCACTCTGTTTAAACTACACTTCTGTTGCTAGACATCTTTTTTTGTTTTTATCTATTTTTCTTTTTCACAACTTAGAATGACCTTGTTTACCCTCCACCCACCCCCACCTCCCCTTTGTTTATTAATTTAATCCCTTTTTTGTTTTTTGTTTAATTTTTCCGGTGAACAGAGGTCGTTTCTCTCTTCCCTCTCTCATTCACTCCCTCCCTCCTTCCTCCACCTCTCCCCCCTTCCCTCTAGGGTCTCTGAACTCTGTGTATATTTTTATAGCTCCTTGTACTATGCCGTAGTTTTGAAGTTTAGACCTCGTTTGTGGAAGTGTTGAGGTAGAACCATCTATGAAAGTTTTTTCTTTTCCTTTCAAATGTTTTTTATTTTTTTCGGAAGCGAAAAGAAGTTAGGGATGGTGGGGAAGAAGAATAAAGGAAGAACAGGGGTGAGAGAGAGAGAGAGAGAGGAGAGCTGCCTGGGGTGGAGGAGAAAAGCGGTGTCTGAATGCAGAAGCTTAAAAAAAAAAAAGGAAGCTAGTGGGGAGGGAGGGAGGGAAAGACTGAAGGAATTGCACACTTAAGAAAAAGAGGCTGAGGGGAGAAGAGGACGGGAGAGGCAGGAGCGCGAGATGAAGGATCCCGAGGAAAGGAGGGATGGAAGAGTGGCCGGTGAAGCAAAGAAACCTCTTCTTTAAATGGAGAGTCTCCCGTATGGAGGTGACGGACCTACAGCCAAAAATGGATTTTTTTGGAGGAGTTGAACTCTTAACCACGACAAAGAGAGATCTCATCACACACACACCCCCACACACACAAACACACACGCCTACTGTGACTCGCATTTTGGATTTGTTCCTTTTTTCTGCCAAAATTTGTGTTGAAATGCATCTCTGTGTATCACACACGCTCACGCGCACACACACACACACGCAAAAGAAAATCCCGCTTCTCTCTGACACACTCTGACGCCCTCCCAACACAACCTAACGCAAATTTCACACCTTTTAATGACTGTCACAAATGCCTCTTGATTGCATTGAATGGCATACATTGTCTCTCACACCCGCTTGCACTCCCAACACACACACTTGCACACACACACACACACACACACGCTCAACAAAAATGCTGATTACTTTCATATGACTCTGTGTTTCTGTGATTAAGACTGACCCAACGGACACGGGAGGGATGAACAGAGCGACTGTGTGTGTTTTCTCCTCCTCTGCTTTTAGATGCTCCCACGCTTTCACAAACACACACATACACACTCACACTGTCTCTCTCTCTCTCTCTCGCGCACAAACACACTAGTTCCGAGCACCTCGACCTCAGAGGGCAATAACATCGCTGTGTTCAGAGGTGCAATGTGTTCACATGTGCATACTAATAAAGCTATTTTGTGTTGCTCAAACATGCTTATGGCTTATGTGTAAACTGGATGGCAGTGGAGAGCTTTTTTCAAACACACACACACACACACATACACGCAAAGCCTCCAATGCTGTAGCCATGTTTTTCTGTGTGAAGCCAGTGTTTAATCTGGACCTTCTGACATTTCTCAGCCGTGTTTTTGTACCTGACGTCATACAATGAGATACGTTTCAAGCTTAAGTGTCACACTCGTCTTAAACTGACTTTGTTGGGCACACGATGATGTTCGGATATGTTTCGTTTTTTCGTTTTGTTTTTGTTTTTAACCCAGTGGAGGAGTTTGTATTTGACTGTATGAAAATTGATGACAAAGATGAAATGACTCAAGTTCTTCTTTTTGTACAACTGCCAACATGTGCTGTGTTTTTCTTTATGTACGCTGTTAAGTCAATGTCTGTTTAAAGTTGAAACATGCTCAGAATACCTAAAAGTATCCTCCAAGCCAAATGAAGTGTCTGTTACTCTCCCTTCAGCAGCTTCTGCGACTCATTGTTTTATTTTTTTTGTGTCCACGAGGGCGGGGCGGGGTGGGGGGGGAAGTAAACTTTGCGGACTTTCACGCCGTCGACTCTGACGAGGAAGCCGCTGGCCTGTTTTCAGCCCGCTGCGCTCCCTCTCCCGCTCCCTCTCAGCAGAATGTCAAGTATCTTTTGGACTTTTTCCTTCTTCTCCTTTTTTTTTTATTATTATTGTTTGGGTTTCATGTCGATGTTATTTCAAAGTTGTGTCTCTGGCTCTCACCGTTTGTGTTTGACTGGTCGACTTGACGTGTTGGCTTTTCTAAAAAAAAAAAAAAAAGGAGATAAAAAACAACATGGACACAGTCGCCATTGGTTGTTTTGAAAAGAGAAAGAAGAAAACGCTGTTTCTATGGAACCGGGGGGAAAATAATAATAATAATAATAATTAAAAAAAATAAGCAGCCACTGCTTAGCTCCCTCACCTCTCCGCTGGTGAAAGTGTACGTGTGTGTGTGTGTGTGTGTGTGTGTAAATGTGTGTGAGTATGTGTGTTTCTTTGTGCCAATAGCCAGCGAGCGGAGGCCACGGAGCAAAGGTGGCTCATATGTGACGTGTTGAGACTTTGTATTTGGGACACCTCCATGTGAGAAGGGGTTTTTTTTTTGTGTGTGCGTGTCCTTTCCTCCTCCTCTTCTTCTCTCCTCCTTTGGCCTCCTTGTCTTACTCATCACAGCGACCCCTGAGCCCCGCTCCCTGTTCTTCCACATTCCCCTCGCCTCCACCCCCCCCCCCCCCCCCCCCCCCCCCTCCAACACACCTCTAAAGAGAGGAAAAAACTAGTACATTCCTGGTTTGGAAAAAAAAAAGATTGAATAAAAAAAACAAACAAAAATGTTTAAGCACCACTCTTTTTGTCCCGTTGTGTGATTCATTATTGTGTGGGGGTCTGGCTGAGAGCTTTTGTTCTGCCTGTGTGTGTGTGTGTGTGTGTGTGTGTGTGAGAGAGAGCGTTCCTGAGGCCTGCTAACCCTGCCTGTAATAGAAGGTCTGTCCTCTTATCTCTGCTCTGGGCTCGTTTCAGCAGGGGCTCTTTCACTGCCTCTGCTAATAACACACACACACACACACACACACACACACACACACACACACGCGCGCGCTCTCCCATCGGTGTTATCAACAAGTTATCAAACCCAGCTTCGTTGGTGTTGAGCGTTGCTTGGCAACGTATTGACAGAGCTGATTTCATTCTCCATCACCCCTCTCTATACCCCTCTTCCTCCTCCTCCTCTATTTCCCCCTGGCTCCTTCTAGCCCCGTGGAACATTTCTATAGCAACTGTTAGCGTCTTTCTCTCTTGTACAAAATTCGCTTCATCCGGATGTGGGTTTGTGTCAGTGTGTGCGTTTTAAAGCCCCTACAGGGCTCGATGTGCCACCAGGGTGGCCTAAGTCTAGGTGACCAGGCAGCTGCCTTTGCCCTTTGATCTGTGATGTGTGTGAGTAGATTACAAGCAATCCCCCCCCCCCCCCCCCCCCCACACACACACACACACAGGCTGAGCCCACCTACACAAACACAACCTCACTGTCACACACTGGCATTGATCTTGAAAGACAATTGTCATTGCCTCTGCCATGACAACCTGTCAGCGTAACTGAGGCCAAGTACAAAGGAGGTTTGGCAAGAAGTAAACATTCAGTTGGGGGCAATCTGCTAAGACTTCTTATCGATGGCACAGCTGCAGTCAGCACCGCATTTTGTCACTTTCACTTCGCTCCGTTCATATGCAGTCCAGCAGGTAGTAATCTTATAAACCTTGAGGATATACGCAAATGGTGTTTACTGGGACTGATAAACAGAATTTTGAAGTGTTTTCAAATGAGACCTGGTTCAGCAGTTTCAGTGTTTTTTTTCTTTCCTTTTTTTAAATCTCTAAAATCCCTGTCGTAGCACATTTTAGCAGTAAGTCAGTGTTTTAGTAGGCCGCGCTGCATAATACCTGAACACTATGACAGAAGAATGATGCTCTTACAAATAACCTATGATGGGGATTTCACTTATGCTGATAAACCAAACTGTTACAGTCACCTTTCTAAGATTGCCAGGGTACCTCTTAGACCAGAACAACTTAAAGGAGTGTCTAGCTTAACCTGCTGAGGGAGGCTGCTGCCATCAGTGATAGCCATAGTGTCCACAACCATGTTCAGATACATGTTCAAGTAACATCCAGGACCCGATGATGATTATCCAATACATCTGCCAGTGTAATGTTGTGGCTGACTGGACTATGTTGCCTGATTTCACCTCAGCGCAGGAACCAGACAACCTTTTTAAACACAGGTTTGATCTACTTGTTAGGAAGAGCTCAACTCAGAGCAATGCTGTCTAAGAGGCCACGGTAAGTGAATACACCAGTGTGAGGGTTTATCGAACCAATTTGTACTTGAAATCAATTACGGAACATACAAAACCTAACAAGAGAGACAGAGTTGCTATTTTATCTACTGTAAGTGACCATAAGCAAGTTTAGTTCACTGTGGGGACACAATGAGAATATAGCAGGGGCAGGAGAAACTCATGTTACTCTAGTTATTTGTTAAAAATGACATTGAGAATTTAAAAAAGATATATTTAGAGTATACTGTAGGGACACGCTGCTCTGTTTGAAGCGTCATAGCAAGATGTTACTTAGAGCTTAGACCACTTATATATACCACATGTAGCACCATTACAGCTGTGCTGTTATGTTGCTATAGCCTTAAAATCAGAAATTATGCCAGTGGTTTAGTCGATTAGTTCCACATGTAGACTTCGTGGATGGTTAGTAGGTATTTCTCATCTGAAGGAACCGACCAGGAAATGGCTAACACTAAAGAACACAGCGGCTGCCAACATATTGCTAACTTTAATGCCAAACCAGTAGTAATAGCGCTCCGTGAATAGCTTACTGTTGTTGCTAATGCAGGGGAAACCAGCAGCAATATTCTCTTCAAAGAGGAACTAATGCTAATCTAATGGCTGTTAAGCTGTAATGAGTTTGCTCGCTTCTTTCCAGTCTGGTTTAAAGGAAGCCTGTTTAGACTATCGAGACTGCTATGGTCTCCTTATCATTACATGCTCATCATTACTCCTGCTAATCTGTTCTGCTCAATGCACACACAGATGAATATTAATGCCATGGAGGATGATAGCCGTGTGCGTGTGTCCTGCATGAACACACACAGACAGATGCAGACAGGCACAAAAAGTTCGAACGACTCAGGCGCGCGTACAGAAACGGCGAACACGCGCAGTCTTGCTTGCTCTCCGTGTGTTGCCAAGTGAGACAGCTGAGCCTCCTCTTCGGCTCCGTGCAGGGAAGAAAGCTGCAAGCGTCGCACACACAGAAACACACAAGCCTCCTTGCCTGGCACTTTATCACAGCAGCAGAAGGAAGGAAAGAGAAAAGAATCAGTTTTAAGTGAAATCAATAGAGAGATAATCCCCTAAATTAGATTTTGAAAAGCTTCGCTGCTGATG